TTTACATTTCAGTCTTTTGCATTCATTATTATTTCACTGGAACTCCTTCTCTAAACAGTAGATGTTTGTAAACTAGCGGCATCCAGCACAGTCAGCTCAAATACAGTAGCATGGTGCTGAACTGTTTCATCACTGAAATGAACTTGTACATGTGATGGGCTGTTAGCACACTGGATTTGAGTCATTTAGGAGGCGTATGTCTGAGTGTGCATGCAAAGATGTTTCCAGAGAAATTTAACTGAGGAAGGCAAATCTTCGTATGTTGGGGGTCACGAATTCAATCAAAATGAGGAAGGGAAAAAGCAAGCTGAATGCCAAAACCCATCGCGCTCGGATTCCTGACAGTAAACGCCATGTAGACAGAGCAGTTGCCCAGCGTTGCTGCCACCATGCCCTCCCCAGTGAAACGGACTGTGTGCCCTCAAACCAAGAGCCAGAAGAAACCACTCCTTCCTGAAGAGGCTTTTACCAGGCACTGGCAAGAAAGGTAACAGAAAACACAACTTGAAATGGATGGCCTTGTTACACAACTCAGGAGCTTATCTCCAGAAAAATTATGTATTCTCAGTGAAACTATACCTAATGGTGTCTATCAACTATTAACTATTAAAAATGCTTTTAAAAGGTGAACTGGTGAAGATGGTAGCAGCATCTGGATTATATGTGGACTATAATCCAGACCACATGACACTGATTTCATTCTTTGGGAATTTAGATGACTATCTTAATACACTTGCGTTTAAAGATTAGTAGTGCTACTATTTTAATATTAAAGATTTATCATGACAACTAATCCTTAAATCATTTCTCCTATTAAAAACAACAGCATAGGCAAAATACAAAATAAACGGGGTGAGAGAGCTGAATATACAGGTGCCATCATGTAACCCAACAAAGATCGAAAGTTAGAAACGAAGAGTTGCAAAGGGCATATGGCAATGAGGTAATTCCCTCCTCCAATAAGTGAAAGTCTCCTTGACAGACATGGACCAGATGATATTAAGCTCTCCCAGCCATTCAACACTAGCCTCTGAAATATACAGGAAACAGTCTCAGAGTCAAGGTTTTCCTTCTTCCATTTAAAAAAAAAACAAACTTTACTTACCAAGTTGGCCATATAAATTGTGAGCAGCCCTCTCCTGTAAATAATTTTAAAAAAAGAAAGATTAAGCTGTGATCTGATTTTATAATCACTTTATCAGTATCAAAAAATCTACCAGGGGTCCAAAAATATACTAATACAAATATATTAGAAAACAGGCAGATTGTGTTGAACTATCCTTTCAATGTGCTGAGTTGAACCTATATTGATTCTTTAGTAGTTCTAGTAGTATAATAAATAATAAGAGTCTACTTATTTGTCATTAAATATTTTGAAGTAATATTGCTTTGTTGTTATTAGAAAACCCACTAAAATCTTTATTGTATGTCAGAGATTTTTTTTTTTTCTTTTTGAGATGGAGTCTCACTATATTGGCCAGGCTGATCCCAAATGTTTGGATTCAAGCAACCGTGAAGAGCAGCTAGTACTTCAGACAGGAGTTACTATAGCCTGATTGTGCTAGAGCAGTGGTTCCCAACCCCCTTCGGGGGTCAAATGATCCTTCCACAGTAGTCACATATCAGCTATCTCCTACATATCAGATATTTACCTGATGATTCATAACTAACAAAATTACAGTTAAGAACTAGCAACAAAATAATTTTAACAATTGGGGGTCACCATAACATGAGGAACTGTATCAAAGGGTGGTAGCATTAGGAAGGTTAAGAAACACTGTGCGAGATGATCCAAAATTCAGTAAGAAGAAATTCTTAAAAATTTACCTTGCCAAAAAGTCAAGGCCAGAACAATTCTGACTAAATGCAATTTTATCAAAGTATCAGATTATCTTTTGATTTTGTACAAAAGCAATTGTTCAATTTGTACATAAACAATAATAATCAATTTGTAACTGATTACAAATTCTACTAAAGCACCTGGATCTTTATCACATTATTAAGTAAGCAGTCATGAGCAAAGGAACTTTCTTTTGTCAAAAGATGAAAGTTCTCTAAATATAGCTACAGAAAAAGAAATGTTTTTACCAAACATACTTAACAAGACCTCAGGTACAATCTCAAAGATAATGACAGCTTTTAGATGACTTATTTAACTTTTAGTACATTTGAGAAAAGGGTTCATGCAAAGTAAGGAAGAGTTCAGGGACAGAGCACAAACAATAAATCAAAACTTCAAAACCTTGCTCAGATCTGAATAACAAGCACTTTTAGGACCCACAGGAAATGTACTTGATATATGAAACAAGTTGCTAGTATCCAATCACCCTCATGTAAATATCATGCCAGATCTACATATCAATATTATGCATGCAACTGTCTTGATGTCATTATTATATACATTCTTGACTGTTCATTATTTAAAATAACTAAAACTCTTAATATTTCCAAAACTACACTGAGAGAGTAACTTAAAACTGCTGAAATGAATTTAGGAAAAGAGTTCTAGTAAACTTTCATTCCCTTGTATTTTATCATTAAAATGAAGAAATAGAATTACTTATATGGAGTCAAAAGATTTCCTGTGTCCTGGCCTGCCAGCAGTTGGGACAAATCTCTCCCACTCACGTCCCCCAAGTAAACACAGAGAGGCTTCATATAACTGCATGGCCATGGCTCAAGCCTTTTTCTAGCTAGCTTTTATATCTTAAATTGGCCCATAACTATTAATGTATATATTGCCACATGTTCCATGGCTTTACCTGCATCCCATTACATGTTGCTCCTTGAGCAGCTGGCTGGCATCTCCTGACTCAGCCTTCCTCTTCCTAGAATTCTCTTTGTCTCTTATTCCACCTCTACTTCCTGCCTGGCTACTGGCCAATGAGTATTTTATTAAACCAGTGTACAAAAGCATTATCCCACATCACTTAAATGCTGACATTTTTTAAACATAAAATTGTCTAAAGAAAATAAACTATCCACTCATATCTTGGCAGTAATCAACAACTATCTAATTGGACCTAAGTCCTGAAGGCACAGGAGGGAAGGCTGCCTGTCATTAGAAACCAAGCCACTACCCAGGGCTGGCAAGGCCATGGATCTTGGAGGAGAACCTATTACTGCCGCTTAACTAAACCAGCATAATTCCTAACTGCACTATAAATACTCTCATAACCACAGATTATGTAGCTCTCACCCCTCACCAAAGAAGCTCCTCTTTGCAATAGATGGAGACCATTACAGAAAAATGGTCAAAATGTTGAGAGCCACTGACTGTGTGGTACCAAGTCCCAAATGTTACATTTACAATACAACTCCTGTCCTAAAGCTCAGGGAATATCATGGGAGAAGGGGCAGAAAGATTGTAAAGGCCAGAGAAACAGGAAAGCTACTATAAATGACAGACATACTTCACCCATGATAATCCAACAATATGGCAGCGTGAATAAGACCCAGGCAAGGCCAACACCAATAGACACAGTGATGTGGAAGGAGGAACTCACAGGGCTTCATCCCTAGACAAAGAACTACAGACAACTAAGAACTGCTGGCCGAGGGAGAATCAGTCTTCCCCAGGAATGGGCCCCTAATTGGTTAGCCAATACCAAGTCATCAACCTTAAAATTACATACATACAAGCAATGCTAAACAAATTCAACAAGTTGTATTTATGTAATACACATACATACACACATGAGTATGTGTATATGTATATATAAATCACAGGTGGGTCAGAGAGATGGTTCAGCAGGTAAAAGTGCTTGGCACCAATCCTGACAACGTTGAGTTCAGTCCCCCAGAGTAGGAGAGAACTTACCCTTGAAAGCTCTCCTCTAACCTCAATGCATGAGCATGTGTGAGCAAACACATTCACATACAATCTTTAGTGTTTTAAGACATGGTAAGATCTATAAGGTTGCTTTTTTTCAAGTTGACAAGTATACATTTACAGAAAGTTAATCCCCTGGCTTTAAACAGATATGTACATAAAATTTGAACAAACTTAAAATATAGACCCTTAGCTCACAAGAGGACCTCTGGGAAACCCCCCTATGCTTCTCCCTTACCCAATGGCTTTTTAAAAACTATTTGTGCCATCCAATAACAAGCCTGAAGTTAGGTGATTTATGCATTAAGATGAAAAATAAAGGAAATTTTCAGTTTCTACTCTGAAATCTGTCTCTCCCAAATTAGGGCCCTATGCTTTCTTATTCTCTTCTGGCTGGCATGCCAGAGTAAAGAGGGAAGAGCCTGTAATGGGCTAAGAAGTTAAGATATGCTCAGGTAGAAGGCATGCAGGCCACCTGCCCTGAGTACAAATAAGACAGAGGCCTACAGATGCCAGGGAAACCCCAGTTCCCACACCTCAGGAACATACTGACTGGACAAGGTCCAAGCCCTCCCTGGCTCTGCTCTGGCCACCTCCTGTTTCTTTGGTATTATTAGAAGACAAGATCAGTTCCTGGGCACCAAGGACAAGGGACTTCCTATGAGTACTGAAAGTACAACTTTCAATTTTCCCTTTTTAAAACACTTAAAAATTAAAAAGTCCAACTCCCTCCTGTGCTGAACCCAGCCCTTTTGACTCCTGACATTGATGTGAGGAAGAGGAGGGCTGTCAACCCTAGAAGGCTGCCTCACTTTCTTCCGACATTTCTGTTTGTCTTCTCTCTGGAGTGCTGTGCTGTCGAGCTTGGGAGGCGCAGTGGCCCTTGGGCCACAATGAGTAGCTGCAAAAAAAGTTCCCACGGGGCATCTGGGTGGGGGTACTTGAAAGATCCAGCTCAAGTAACCCTGTAGTCAGCAGGAGGGAACCCTGGAGTGGCCCTCTGCCAACCACTGGTACCTGGTCCTCAAGAGCCAACTGAGATGTGATATGGAACTCTGTAGATATCCAGGAGATTCCCCCATGCTGGAATCCTGCCCACTCTGTGATGTCACATATCTTTCTGTTCATCAGTATAGTGTCACTGATCATGAGGCCCAACATGCTTGAATCTGCCCAAGTCTCCCTCCTCAGCTGGATGGATGTAGCCTATTACACTTAGCACAGTATCTGGTTCTCTTAGGTTCATGGTCATCTCAAATCTCTAACACTTCCCTTTACATCAGCTACACATCACAATATCCATTGCCTCCTTGAGTGTTGGAGCCCACTAGGTTTCCTAGTGGCTGTACCCAGAAGGACTGTATAAGAGGTTGATTGGACCACAAACCTGGGTACCAGATGTTTGTAAGGGTCTAACTAGCAAGAGGGAGGTCTTTTGCTCCACCCCTTGGCATGGTTATTAATAGACCTTTGGAATAAAGTTCTGGGCCATTGGATAAAGACCCAGGCCTACCCGAGTTTATCCTGTGCTGTGGGATGTTCTGTATTCTGTGAATGTGTTGCTCTGACTGGTTAACAAATAAAGTGCTGATTGGCCAGTAACCAGGAAGTATAGGCAGGACAAGCAGAGAAGAGAATGCTGGGAACAGGAAGGCTGAGTCAGGAGACACTACCAGCTGCCGCCATGAGAAACAAGATGTAACGATACCGGTAAGCCATGAGCCACATGGCAAGGTATAGGTTTATAGAAATGGGTCAATTTAAGATGTAAGATCTACCTAGCAAGAAGCCTCAGCCATTAGGCCATACAGTTCATAATTAATATAAGCCTCTGTGTGTTTACTTGGGTCTCAGTGGCTGCAGGACTGGTGAGTGAGAGAGATTTGTCCTGACCACTGACAGGCTGGGACACAGGAAAACTTCAACTATAATCCTGTGTTTTCTCTCTGTTTTCTCTGTCCCTTCTCTACTTCTAAGTCTCTTACCCCTCATTCCTCAAGAGCTCCTGGGGTAAATAAGTATGGGGGCTGGTCCTCTATACTTGAGGTCATCTTGTAGCCTGGGCAGAAACTCAGTCACTGAACAGCTTGCTCATTCTCTGTGGTTCATTTCAACTCTTATTCCTCTGCCTTTTAGGATTGCTGACAAAGTCCCAAAAACCTTCAGGGCCTCCTCAGCCTAGGATCATGAATTTTTGTCAGGATGAATCATCACTGCCAGCTGCCTATAGACCTTCAGCTCAACACCTTCAACCTCACCACAGGAAAATGGTTTAAATCATCCTCAGGAACCCCAGGCATGGTCAAAAGTCAAGCCATTTACTCCTCCACTAGCAGCAGCACCCACTTGCTACAGGTACATTACTTTGCCTATTCGTCCTCTGCTTGACTGAAGACAACTCCAGCCAAGGCCACTGAACTAATCTTACAAGCTGCTGCCATGGCCGGTTATCCCTCAGTAGAGTTCAACAATGCAAGGCTGGAGACTGCAGCCAAAAGATGAGCCAAGTGGTCTTATGACTCCAGCCTAACAGGTCACCCAATCCCACCAGAAACCTCCAGGCCATCTGTAGACAAACCCTAAGAAAAGGCAAAGTCAGCAGCAGGAAATCAAAAAGTGTACTATGATCTGGGCCCACCCCCATGCAATCTCTGTCCAGACTCCCACCCAGACTAAGGAAGATCCAGATTACGGCAGTTCGGCTGCTTACATGCATAAGTGATACAGCCGCAAATTTCCACACAATCTCCAGGGCATACAAGCAGTAAAATCAACCCAGAAGGTTATCTGTCCAAGTTGACATAGTCCCTCCACTCCTCATAGTCCCAGGCCTCTGCAATCTGCCTGACTTCATTTTCAGCCCAGTGGACATCAACAGGGGGACCTGGGCCCTCTGCACCCACTATCCTGAGTATCTTCCTTGCTCAGAAAGTGGTGTCCCTGCCTCTGGAATGGGGCTTTCTTCCCACATGACACATATGAAAAAAAAAAAATCACTGAGAAACTTAAGTGGTAGTCATATTCCTGTTGTGGAAGATTAGTTGAAGATGGGTTACATTTATTTATGCTGTGGAATATTTTGTTTAATGATGCAAAGATGCATTGCATTCTTTTATGTTGTATTTGTTTAACTCTGTGAAGCTGTGTTACTTTGTTTGTCTAAAAACATCTGCTTGGTCTATTAAAGAGCTGAATGGCCAATAGGTAGGCAGGAGAAAGGCTGGCGGGGCTGGCAGGCAGAGAATAAATATAAGGAGAAAAAGGGAAGAGGAAGAGAGAGAAAAGGAGGAGAGGAGGACACCGGGGCCAACCACACAGATAACAACAGAGTAAGAAGGAAATATATAGAGAATAAAAGTAAAAAGCCAAGAGGCAAACTGTAATTAAAGAGAGACAGGATAATTTAAGTTAGAAAAGCTGGCTAGAAATAAACCAAGCTAAGGCTGGGCATTCATAAGTAAGAATAAGTCTCCAAGACTCATTTAGGAGCAGGGTGGTGGGGCCCCAAAGAGTAAAAAAAAAAAAAAAAAAAAAAAAACCTACATATTCCTCTTCCAACTCCTTGTTCCCAAGGCCGGAGAGGGCAACCGAAGCAGAAGTCGCTAGAAGATCCAGCCCTTCCCTCCAACTATGGCCATTCTGGGATTCCAGGGCTTCCCTGGCAGTTACCAGCAAATGGAAAGAAAACAAGGGTCCCATCCTCTGGGTACTCAGCCCATTCTCTCAAGATGTCCTGGTCCACGCCTGACTCTTCGAAAGGTGCTTTCCTGATCAAGGTTGCCTCTGTCTCAAGGTGATCCTGGACCACTTGGGGGACCACGGCTCAGATCCAAAGCGTTGGCTAGGTGTGGGATCTGTGTGTACTCAAAACCAGAGAGCTCACTAAGGCAGCAGGTACCTTTAGAAGAGGTCCCTGCTAAGTCCCTGAGTCCTGAGAATTAAAGTATCTCAAGGTCCACAGAGAGTCCCGATGTCCTAAGAGGGGGACCACCACAGTGGGCTCCGTAAAAACTTCTTTCTCCTGGTGCTTCTGGGCCATGGCCTTGGGTTTCCTGAGGACTTTGGGTCAAGGTCATCAAGAAGAGCACTATTAAGGAACAGCAACCATAACTCCTCCCTCTTAAGCACCTACTCAAAGGTCAGACAAAGCCAATAGTCACCCACCTCCCACTCACCCTCCTAATGTCTTTTTTTTTTTAACTGAGACAGGGTCTCTCTCCCTCTCCCTCTCCCTCTTTTCTCTGGTGGGAAGAAATCTCTTAAGCTAGCACACAAAATTTTAACAGCTGTACTAAACCACTGCCACATCAACTAACCCTGCAACCACAACATCAACACACCTACAGGAAAAAAGAAAATTAAATCTCTGTAACACTTTGCAGACTCAAAACTAGCCGAACAACCTGCCCAAATCCTAAACAGTGGTATCTTCTAGAAGCGCTATCATCATTTCTCAGTGAAGGACTAGCAGTGTTTCACTTGGAAACTTTACTGCATATATTTTTTAGCCTATCCCGAGGTTTTGAATGATAATGGATAATATATTCCCTGAGGTTACTGGGGAGCCAGCAGAAACAACCTAACTTCTCAATTCTAAATACATACATATCTTACTATTAAATACACATATAAAGCATGTCCATATCTGAAAAACAAAGGGAAAAGGAGAGAAAGCAGAAACAGAGAGACAGTGCCCAAACAGTGAAAGTTTTCCCCGTTCTTCCCCTGAAAGGTAAAGGAACGAGCAGGACAAACTCTCAGTCTAAATGAAGAGTGTGGGACCCCATTCTGTGACAGAATTCCCTGAGCACCACAAGCACCCCAGAGGCTGGTGGCAACACCTTGTGGAACCAAGTGTGTAAAGAACTTACAGACCAAACTCTGATTTGCATATTACATCCTTCTTTTCATCTCGGCTGTCTGCTTACATGTTTCTTAACTACTATAGTGCTTAATAACTCAACCCAAAAGTATGCTTACAATGAGAGTGGTTTTCATTTTAATCCATCTTTAAGCATACTGTGGTTTTTAACTTATCCAAAGTAAAACTAAATATCAAAGCAAATTCCACAGCAATTCTGAAGAAAAAAAAAAATCCATCAGAACAACTTCTTTCTGAACCACAAGGCACTTCCTCGAGTCAGAGAGAAAAGGCCCCTTCTTAACAGCCCTCCTGGGGTAAGCTAGATGTTACCAGGCTTCCAACTGAGCTAAGAACCCAGTTCTTTGTGGCACAAGTTTTTAAAGGAGCCCTGGAAAGAACTTCAAAGCTCTCTCAGAAGCTCACAGTGATGTGATTAGGACTCAGGGTCTCTCTCTTCCTAGGTATAAGAAACTAATTGGCAAAGCAAGCTTAGCTCTGAAAGGATGGGTGGGCTGACAGACATGGGATGTAGGAGGAAGATGGAGAAGGGGCAGGGAGAAGAAAGGGGGACAGATAAGAAAATAAGACATTTGCAGGTACCTACCGTGTATACAGAAAATGCAGACAAGAGATCCACATTCTATGATGGCATCTCACAACTGCAAAACTAATTACACATCTCAGCTCCAAGTGTGTGTATCATAAAGTTTTCACTGCCAAAGCTTTAAAATGTAAGAATACAAAGAATACTATTTCAAAAAAAAAAAAAAGCACCAAGTGCTATTCCTTCACAATCTATTTCTGCATTTCTTTTACTATTTCAAAGATATTCTAATATATAATGAAAGTAGGACTCAGTTGCATACTGTTTCCTAGCATTCAACCCCAGACAGCCTCTTTCCTGGGCTTTCCTATGGCAGTGTGTACACAAACCCAGACGGCCTCTTTCCTATGGCAGTGTGCACAAAAACGTCCAACTTTGCTTCACCACAGCCTTTCCCCTAAATCAAATCACATTTCTGGCTGCCTACTGACTGCCTCTACCAGTGCATTGTTCATTTTCTCTGTGAACTAAAACCATAGTTACAAGTCTATCCGTCCTCCTGGAATAACAACAATAATGTTCTATTTCAGTACTAAAAATAATGACTTTGAAGTTTGTAAAACTTCACTTTTATAAATTATTTATAAGCTATTGAGGCTCTTGCTACTTAATATAACCTTAATTTAAACTGAAAACACGTAAACAGCACTTATTTGGGGCAAAATTGGTGACTACATTAACTCTTACAAAATTCTAGGTAAGCACTGAACCAATTTCTTTAAAATAAAACTCAAAGGCAGCTTATAGAGAAATAAAAAATATCTACTTTCCTCAGTTTTAAAGTTGTACACACACACATACACACACACACTTATACACATGCATACTCACACCCACAAGAAAGCAAAAACAACTGCTTTTAAAACGTCCCTAGGCTTTGAATATTAAAGAACTAAAACTTGGTCAGGGAATACAGCTCAGTGGTGAACACAGATAAAGCCCTAGTTCAATTCCTAGATAGCAAAAACAAAGGACTTTGGAAATTTGAACAGAACCAACCAGGTGTAGTTGTTATGCATGCGCACACAGCTCTCAACACAAAACCCTACAGAGCTATTTCCCAGTATCGTAAATCTCATCAACTAGTAAACAATGGAAATAAATCAACAGATTTCACACAGTTCAATTATGTAAAAATCATATCACGTACAAGATTGATTTTTTTTCTTCAGCCACATGGTATAAGAGCCCATTAAGGAAAAACTATTTCCAGACCAAAAGAATAAAGCCTGTGGTCTAGATAGAGACCAAGCCTTGTGATTGAGCGGGTCAATGACCTAGATAAGGGACCCCCACCTCAGGAAGGCAGAAGCATCCCTAGGAAAGTGGTTTCACCTTCAACTAAAGAAACAGAAGGAAGAATTCCACTTTTTAATGAACTAATGTACTTTTCCTTCCCAGAATTCCCTCTCCATAATGCATTTCCTACAAATAAACAGCCAAGAGGTTCTGTGGGGTCAGCCCATCTTACAGGCATAACCGTCCCTTCTCTTTAGTCTTCTTTCAGATGCTGGCCAGAGCCTAAGTACATTTTCTCTGACACTTTGGGCTTTTTCACGCTTTCTCTAATGTTCAGCGTCCTTGCCTGTGGCTGCAGTCTGCTGAGTGGCTGACTTCCACATCCACTTAACCTAAACTGCACGGTTTTCTCCATTCTTCTCCATCTCCCTCCTCCCAGGAGCGGCTGACGTTTACAGCTTGCCTAACCTGGGGTTTTTCTTTTAAACTCAAATAAAATTGTCCTCAAACTTCCTTTTCAGTCTGTCCTTAAACTCTTTCATTAATGAGTAAGAATGCCAAAGTGGAGCCCGACTGTCACAGGACTCAGTGGGAGTTTCCAAAATCTCTGGTAACAAAGGCAGTTAAAAAAGAAGATAAAGTATTTGATTGCTTTTAAAGCAACAAACAAACAGCAAACCACTTCAACTAATATTTACAATAGCCCACAGTCTGTAATAGCAGGAATCTGGTGTGGCTAACTGGTGACTAAGACTGAAACATTAATGCAAAAAGCCCTCTTAAAGGAAATATAAGAAAAAGCTTTAAAAAAAAAATCATCCATCAATGTGAGCCTAAAAACAACACTAAGGATAGATACTAATCCCACCATCGTTTAATGTCCAGAGGCACTCTTCATGTCCTTGGATATTACACTGCTACCTCCTTACACACTTTGACTTTGGTATCACTGTAGTTCAGCTCCACTTAATACTGTAGAAGATGAACAGTTATAACTTAAATACCACATAATCAGCCTCTAAACTGGACCAAGATAGGCTTCGATATTTTGCGAGGTGGTGAAATATTAACGTTGAGAAGCTGGAAAGTTAAAGGCCTGTGTTGTTGTGACAGAGCAAGCAAAAATAAATAAATAAAATAAAGTCTTAAAGTGGGCTAGTAACGCAAAGGAAGAAAAAACACAAACACAAAAAAAATTTAAAGTAATAATAAAATAGCAGAGCTAACCTACCCCATCAAAAAAATAAACCAAATGTTAATGAACTAAATAATCTAATTAAAAGTCAAGAACAAATGCTGTTTAAAAATTCAACTACAAGCTATCTGGGGAAAAAAAAACTTTAACACAAAGAAAGGCACACAGAGATGCTTGAAACTGAATTTAAAAACATATACCATACATCCAGTCAGCATTCAAGGGCAAAAGCAGCTATGCTAACATGACTGGTAATGCTATGAGCAGACTCTGTGTAGCCAAGAAAAAGACACTTCACAACAAGAAAACACCTGAGTTGCAGGAGGACACTTGACACTGACCATACCATACTGAGAAAAGCATACCAAAAGGACACATGGCTAAAACCATTGTAGACACTCATTTAGAGACAAAGACAATTTCCAACCACAGCTGGAGGTCTTACACTTTACACTTACATCCTCAGCAAATGATAAACTTAGACCAGTGAATTTCCCAGAAACAGATCATTACTTTTCAACAGGGACTAGTTGCCCCAGGTAGACATTTAATACTATCCAGAGACTGTCCCAAAGGTGAGGAAGAAGAAAGAGCCAATAGCATATACAGTCTCAAGCACAGGACAGTCTTCCCCATAAAGCACTCTTCTGTATGAAAACCTGTCCATATTTCCAAGGTTAAGAAATCCAGATGTAGATAACATCATCAACAATCCCGACCTCATTCATATGTTAAAAAAACACTATAAATAAGCCAAAGAAAAACCACATGAACATACTGATATAGAAAAGCCATACAGCAAATTACTATATCTGTTCATGATAAAGGTCCTCAACATATTGGACTAAATGTGAACTTTATAAAACTGATGATGCACACATAAAAACACAACAGCTTACAGCATCACAGTTGATGGTAAAAAGACTGAGTGCCATCTGCTAGCATCAGGACCAGGGATAGGAGACTGTACACAGTAAGACAAGAATAATGATAATACATGTAGACTGGAAGAGAAATAAAGCTTTCCCATCAGCAGGTAACATCTGTAGAAATCTCTAAGGAATGTACCAGTGACTCCCAGAACAAATGAAAGCAGCAAGGTCATGAGTCAGGATCAGGACACAAGGTCAATGGCATTTACATGCAGTAGTAAGTCATAAGTATCTAAAGGATAAAATGTAAAACATATTCCCGAATTTCCAATCTACACAAAAATCAACTCAAAACAGACAAAGGCTCAAATTTAAGAGCTAAAATTATAAAGCTCTTAAAGAAAACAGGAGTGAACCTTTGGGTTGGTAATTTTTCTTCTTTTTTATTAAATGTTTTCATTTATTTTACACACCAATCACAGTTTCCCCTTGCTGTTTCTTAACCATGATACCAAAAACACAGTCAACAAAAGGTTACTAAAAAGGAGAGAGGCATGATGGGGCATATCTGTATTTTCAGCACTCAGTAAACTGAGGAAAGAGAATTACAAGTTCAAGACCAGCCTGGTATTCACAGTGAGTTCAAAGTCAGTCTGGACTGTACAGGAACATGCTGTCAAAAAGAAAAAAAAAAAAAGATGACCTGGCCTTAATCAAAATATTTTCCTGTTATGAGAGACATGACCCAAGAAAGTGGTGGGACAAATATATAGAACATGGCAGAATATTTGCAATTTGTAGATGCAAAAGCTTGCATCTAGAATATCTAAAAAACAGTTGCAACACAATAGCTAAAAAGTAATCTAATGACAAAATGATATTTTTTTGTTTTTATTCTCCTCTCATCTTCTCCCATAAATTACATCCTGACCACAGTTTCCGCTCCTTCTCCTCCCCCCAGTCTCTCCCTCCAACCTTCCCTTTCCCCCAAACCCACCACTCCTCCGCCTCCTCTCAGAAAAGAGCAGGACTCGCAGGGACATCAACCAAAAACACAGTACAGTGAGCTACAATCAGATCAGACATACATAATCCCATCAAGGCTGGATGAGGTAACCCAGTGGAAGAAAAAGGGTCCCACAAGTAGGCAAAAGAGTCGGTGACCACCCCCACTCCCACTGTTAGGAATCCCACAAGAACATCAAGCTACTCAGCCTTAACATACATGCAGAGGATCTAAGTGAGACCCCTACAGGCTCCCTGATCTCTGCTAGCCCCCATGAGTCTCAGTCAGTTGATTCTGTGGACCATATTCTCCTAGTGCCCCTGACCCCGCTGGCTCCTCAGAGCCTTCCTCCCCGTTTCCTGGAGTTCTGCCTAATGTTTGGCTGTGGGACTCTGCATCTGCTCCCATCAGTTGCTGGATGAAGTCTCTCTGGTCTCTTTGATGACAATTCTGCTTGGCTCCAGTCCTAGAACACTCTGTGGGCAGGACAAACTGTAGGTAAAAGGTTCTGTGGCTGGGTCGGTGTCCTAATCCCTCTACTTGAGGCCTTGCCTGGTTACAGAAGATGGCTGGTTCAGGCTCTGTGTTCCCCATTGCTAGGAATCTTTGCTAAGATTACTCTCATAGATTCCATGGATTTTCCATTGCAACTAGGTTTCCACCTCATCCCTAAAATGACCCCCCAATTCAAGTCATTTCTCCCAGTATACTCTCCCTCACCCCACCTTCCACCCTTCATCCCCCCACCACCTGATCACTCCTGTTCCCAACCCTATCCGCCCCCAGTCCACCCAAGAAATCTGTTCTATTTCCCCTTCCTAGGGAGATCCTTGTGTTCCCCCTTAAGCCTTCCTTGTTACTTAGCCTCTCTGGGTCTGTGTTCCATAGCAAGATTATCTTTTACTTTACAGCTAATATCCACTTACAAGTGAATACATTCCATGTTTGTCTTTCTGGGTCTGGGTTACCTCACTCAGAATGATTTTTTTCTAGTTCTATCCATTTGCCTGCAAATTTCCTGATGTCATTGCTTTTATCTTTGGTTGAAGGACATCTAAGTTGTTTCCAGGTTCTGGCTATTATGACTAAAGCTGCTATGAACATAGTTAAGCAAGTGTCCTTGTGGAAGGATGGAGCATCCTTTAGGTATATGCCCAGGAGAAGTATACCTGGGTCTTGAGGTAGATTGATTCCCAATTTTCTGAGAAACCGCCATATTGATTTCAAAGTGGCTGCACAAGTCTGCACTCCCAGCAGCAGGACACTTCTTAATAGAAGATAAGCATCAAAAGAAGCCTGGTATCACTAAGCATCTAGGAAATGCAAATCAGAGCCACACTGAGACACCACCTCACGCTACACAGAAGACCTTATACTGCTGGAGGGAATCGAAACTAGCAGCCACTTTAGCAAACAACTCACAGTTCCTCAAAAGGTTAAACATGATACCAGGTCAGCCGGCAAGTCTACAGCCGGGTTCATTCACCAGAGAAATGAAAAGATTAAGTCCATACGGAAATGCGCACAAGCCTAAGGCAGCGTCATTAACAACTGGAAGCCTAAGGGGTTGGAAGCTACATCACGCAGGCTCTCTGAGGGCAATGAGCAGTGAGGCAGCAAGGCACACAATATCCTGAATTTCAAGCCATCAGCC